TATTCACAAAACACAGCAAATTTTTCGACCTTGACCTTGACTGATGACGTCATCTAGGTGCCATTTTGTGAATTTTTTTGAAAATCAACTCTTGATCATATCTTCATAACCAAAAGTAATTTCTCATTCATATTTATCATGATCAAGGTCAATATCAGTCCGGTCAAATTAAGGTAAAAAAACGCGCGCATGCGCGTACGTCTGCGCGTCAATACGCGCGCAAAAATTTTAAATGCTCAAAATCGTCTCAAATTTTTTTTGCATACGTTTCAGGTCATTTTAAGCATTTTATAAAAAATCGCGCACACGCGCATGCGCGCGCGTTTTCGCGCGTAACACCATTACACAACGTAGAATCGCCATTTTTTTTCTTTCTTGATAATTCCCATATTTTGTCAAACAATTTGATACTATGTTCATCTCTTTATGACCATTATTTTAAGATGAGCGTCCATTCAAGATAAATGTCAGTGCGCGCGAGCTCTTATAATACATAGCATATATGGGCAAAAACATGCCTATACAAAATCCATTATAGCTCTTTGGAATGCACCGGGATCCTTAATTTTTTTCCTATTTAGATAGAGTATGAGTCGGAGACATGATTTCATGTCTCATTTGGCCATTAAGTGTATCGTGACATCATCACAATGGCCTTGGAACTCAAAATACGAATTTGCATATTATGACGTCAGCATATTTATGGAAAATTGATTGCATCTCTGTAAATATTGATCAATTTTCTTCAAAATTTCGATATGTTGTAGCTAAGACAATTGTCTACAAGCTTTAAAATAACCATTTTTCATTTTGATGACGTCATCATAGTGAAAATCTCGATTAAAGGCCTCATGTCAAAAGGCCTTCATAATTTGCCTGATCCCTGTAGAAGGTGAATTACGTTCACGTCATGAAACTACATGATATTGTTTTTTAAGAATTTTTAAGCAGTATCTCGCTTATTTTCGCTCTACTTTGTCTCAAATTTAAGTTGACCAGCCCACCTATACTTGTTCCAAACAAGTATTATATGTCTAGTTTATTTTTCTTATTTCGACCCACTTTTTTGTGTGCAAGATAATTTGAAAATGGCTCTATCAAATATCTTAAAATTTGATACACATATGTATAGGCATATGCACAAAACACAGCAAATTTTTTGACCCTGACCTTGACTGATTACGTCATCTAGGCGCCATTTTGTGAAATTTTCTGAAAATCAACTCATGATCATATCTTCATAACCAAAAAGTATTTCACATTCATATTTATCATGATCAAGGTCAATATCCGTCCGGTCAATGGCAGGTCAAATAACGCGCGCGTGCGCGTACGTCCGCGCGACAATGCGCGCGTAAAATTTTGAAATGCTCAAAATCGTCTCAAAATCATTTTGCATACGTTTCAGGTCATTTTAAGCATTTTATAAAAAAAAAAAAAAAACGCGCACACGCGCATGTGCGCGCGTTTTCGCGCGTAACACCATTACACAACATAGAATCGCCATTTTTTGTTCTTTCATGTTATTTCCCATATTTTTTCAAACAATTTGATACCATGTTTTTTTCTTTATGACCATAATAAAGAAGAGGAAAATCCATTCAAGATAAATGTCCGTGCGCGCGAGCTCTTGTAATACATAACATACATGGGCAAAAACATGCCTATACATAATCCATTATAGCTCTTTGGAATGCACCTAGACCCCGATTTCTTTTTCATATTTGGATAGAGTATGAGTCGGAAATATGATTTTATGTCTCATTTGGCCATTAAGTGTATCGTTACATCATCATAATGGCCTTCGAACTATAAATAGGAATTTGCATATTATGACGTCAGCATATTTATGTAAAATTGATTGTATCTCTGTAAATATTGATCGATTTTCTTCCAAATTTCGATATGTTGTAGCTAAGATAATTCTCTACAAGCTCAATAATCACCATTTTTCATTTTGATGACGTCATCAGAGTGAAAATTTTGATTAAAGGCCTCATGTCAGAAATTTCATAATTTGCGTGTTATGACTAATCTACATGATATTGTTTTTTAAGAATTTTTAAGCAGTTTCTCGCTTATTTTTGCTCTATTTTGTCTCAAAATTTAGTTGACCAGCCCACCTATACTTGTTCCAAACAAGTATTATATGTCTAGTTTATGGTTGCAATTCAATTTTTGGTTCGGGTTAGGGTTATAAATACATACATCTTTATGTTTATTTGGTAATACCAAGGAGAAAGCCTTGATTTCCTTGGCTTTTTCTTGTTAATTGGGTCACACATTGATTTTTTTGGCTAAGTTCCAGGAGTATATTCTATTATTTTAAGGATTAATTTTCCGGTAGTCTTTGGAAAAGTATAATTTCTACCAGTAAATGTATTTCTGTGGAACTTTTCTTGATTGAATTGTTTTGACTGTAACCTTGGAAGATGAGTGAAAGACCTGCAGATTGACAGGAAATTAAATCACTAACCCTTTTCTTCCCTTTCCTGTGTTTTCAGTTGACCCAAACTTCGTTTTTAACTTTTTATTTTAAGGCCAAATAACAAAAATGAAGTGTTTCTTATCCCCGCCCATCTCCTTTTTGGCCCCCGGTTCCTCCTTGTTTGTTGCTATTTTACTAATTAGGAAAAAATAACAAGAAAAAAAAGTCCCCAAAAGGCTGTGATATACATTTTGTTTAAATAGCTGCTAAAGTGATACAAATCATTTGTTTTGTCAGACATTGCATCAGTATACTCACATACATGTAGCACAATTTCGGTGAATAAATAGACTTGGCCAGCTATAATTAGCATGGCAGCCATCTTAGAAAAAATTCCAAAAAAATTGCATAAAACAGTAATGCCCTGCCTCCTCCTTTTTTTAAAGAGTCCGGACGAGAAACACATTATTTTTTGTTATTTGGCCTACGATTAATGAGCTATTTCTAAGGCTGCATTATCCAGTGTCATAATCATGAATGCTCTTTTGCTGCCCGAAAGTGCAGCAAATCACTTTTGGAAAATATTTTGGTAGCCTAGAATGTCATTTCCCCTTTTCCATTGATCATGGAGGGCAAGACAAATATTAATTTTGCACTGTTGTCAAAGGGGGACATTTTCAGTGAAAGGCCCAGTTTTCACATGAACAAGAGCCAGCGCGCCATGAACATTGAATGTCTGGCATGTACTATAGAAAACTATTTCTCTTGTGATTTAAACATTTTCAGTAAAAACCCAGACTCAGTTTTCACATTGAACAAAACCCAGCTTGCCATGTACATTGTATGACTGGCATGCTGTAAAAAATGATTTCACTTTTGATTTATCATTTTAAAATGCTGAAATCCTTGTTGTTTGATATGGATTTGTCTATTTTGGTGTCAGAAGGTGGTTGATTCTTCGTAAAGGTACATTTTTGAGCTAATGCCCTTCTGGCTCTCAGCAGGCAATCCATGTACATGTATTTAGGCATGTTTTTATTATATGACGAATGTCTTGTTCGCAAACTCTTCTCCCCGCAAGTTCTTGAAATCCCAATTAAGTAATTAATCTCTGTTCTCTCTCCAAAAGTCTCTCTTAAACCATCATATCCATCTTCAGAGCTTGAGAATTTATCTTCAAGTACAGATGTTTGAAACTTGATAGTGCATATGAAATGAAGTGGAGTGAAAGATGTACATGTAATGTGTAATGGACACATATATTTGAGAGGATTTCCTTTTTGTGGAAAGTGAAATTTGCAGCCTGTTCCGACTAAAGAAAATTTATAAGAAACTTCATTTGGAAGTTCTAATAATATCGCATCCAAAAGTCAAAACTATCTGTAACAGTTTCGATGTCTAGAGCTCAAACATCTTCCTCAATCATCTTCCTTTCAAACTAGTATTACAACCATCTTGATGAAATTCTTTCATAATTATAATAAGAACCTTGTGTGAAGAAACGTCATATAAAAAATTGTACAGGTGTGCATGTATAGTGAAAGGAGCATTCAGACAAGAAAACATATATAACATCGTATAAAGAAACTAATTTTGAAGAGGCCAGTTAGTTGACAAGTCAGCTGGCCAATCAGCAGTGCTTGTTCATGATAAGCCCCGCCCAGTTATACAATTTTTGTACAATTCAACGTTCAGACTACAGTGTAGTGTGGGACCCTGATTCTTTATTGAGTTGTGTAAAACATTGCTCAAACAGGCATTTGGCCATACGTTTCATACAACGTTTTGTTATACATACATCTGTAAGTCATTTCTTTATATTGCGTTCAGACTAGATAAATTGAACTACAAGAATCGTATAGTTATACGATAAATTCTGGAAGTCTGAATGCAGGGTTAGATTGTGAAAGTAGGCTTGTTATTTTTTTAATCTACCAAAGTTTGCCCCTAAAATCTGTCAGATTTGTTGCACCAAGTCTCACATCCTGTCTCCTTCCTCCTGAGAAAGGCTGGTACTCTCAACACCGACCATGTATGACTCCTTTCACACTCTCAAATTAAGTGCGCATGTATGTATTTCTCACAAGAGCAATAGACCATTTTCGTAATGTAATCAAATTTAATACACAAATCTTTGTTACCAGTATGCCATCATCCATGTTACAAATTATTTAATTCACCTGTTACAAATAACTGTATTTCAATAGTCAGAATGCGAATTGCATTCATTAATTGCTACAGTAGGTAGGAAAAATATGGCTTAGAATGTGCTTAATTCCTGGGTGTGAACAGGTTCTGTGTTGTGATACTCGACTGTCTAATTCCCCCCTTGATCTCAGGCCCATCCTAGCTCTCAGCCCAGGATACCACTCGCACAAAGATTTGCGAAGTGCATGTATACACAAATTGTTGCTAGGTAGGAAAAACATGACTTAGAACATGCTTAATTCATGAGTGTGAACAGGATCTATGTTGTGTTACTCCACTGTCTAATTCCTCCCAATCTCAGGCCCATCCTAGCTCTCAGCCCTGGATCCCACTCCCTGTTCTGACTATTATTAAGAGGCGTTCACTGCATCCTGTCATTCCTGTATTAAACGCACTGTTGTTGCGGCCTTCTCCGGAGATAATAAACCAATTCCTTTTGTTATCTTTGCCATCCCTACTGGATTATCAATCATGATTTCTGTAAGTTCTATGTTGCATTGACGGTCAAAAGTAATCGGATATGTTTATTTTGAAAGTGATGACATCATGTCATTGTGCAAGAGTACATGTATAGGGACTAAGTACCTGATAAGGACACTTCACAGTCTAACGAGCTTGATCAATGCTCATTTGTGATTTTTCATACCAAAGGATTCCTGAGAGAACAGGATAGAACCGCGGTGAGTGTGAAGTATTCTATTATAAAAGGCATCGTTTATTAACAATGTTAAATCTGAGATGCATGGCCCTATGTGTTATCAGTGTCTCTGATAATGGTGTATCATAGAAGCCCTACAAAAATTGCGTTTCAAAATGATCATGAAGTGCCTCAAAAAAGAAAAAAATATTTGAGTGACTGGTTTTACCATACTCATTTTCCCCAATAGACTGTAGTGTTATGAAAGGCGTTAGGAAAATGAAAAATGAAATTCCAGTTTCTAATTATAAATATCATGGGATTCCTGAATGACCTAAATGTTTATAATTATGATTGCAGCGTGAGCTAAATCCAGGATTTTGTTTTAGAATCTGAGGCAATGTTACAGAGTCAATTGGAAGTCTTGATAAAAGGAAACCTGGAAGTGTAGTTTTAGTGTGTACCTGATCGAGTGTTATTTACAAAGTGATTGTCATTTTTCTCCAGGCATCTGAAAACAGACGTATTGATCGGTGATGTTTTTTTTATGGTTGTTGTGGTTATTATGTGTAATCTGAACTGAATTCATCCTTGATGCACTCTGAGATAATGGACGGTGGTTTCGCAAGCTCTTGCACTTTTTGTCACCCTATTTAATAGAAGAAAACTACAGGTATATATTTTAAAAGAATTGCGTGATATCTACTAGCTTTGACCGTTTGTTCTCTTTGCTCATGGTGAAATAAGAAACGTGAAGCTTGATATTTCTCTCTTTCTTTCGTCATCAATATTGAACTTGTACTGGTATGCGTGTGACCTCGAGGTACAGTATGGAGCCTATGAATCAAAATCAAGGCAACTGATGTATATTTCCGTACATACTCTGCAAATTCAATTCTTTTCCTGGAATTCATTGTCATTTTTCTCCCAATTGGAGGAATATGTACTGAAGAGTGATTTTTAAAAACCTGGAATTCATCTATTTATAATACTTTTCATTCCCTTTTTCACTCCCACTCAGAGGAATATAAGCTGAAGAGTCTTTTAATTTTTATAAACCTGGAATTAATCTATTTATGATACTTCTCTTTGCCGTTTTTCTTCCAGTTATCAGAATAAAAACTTTGTTTACATTGGACCATAGTGCACCCATAGTGGAGCAGTACCGCAGTAGGAATCACCACCTGGAGGCCCAGCTTCATCAGCTAGAGTTTGCCAAATAACCTGTTATTTTTAGACTCTGGATATTTTGCCAAAGCCAGAAATTGCGTCTTCACCAGACCGGTATGCTCTTCACAAACTATAGCTCGGACGGACACAAATTAGCCTGGTATTTCCCACATAGCGGGATATGTTGGTAAACAAGACCAAGATTTTGCTGAATATTTTCTCGACCAAATATCCCGCTATTAGCAACTGCGGGCTGATGAAGACACAAATTAACTGGCTAATTTGCGATCGAGATAGTTACAATAGCATGTTATTTGGCAAACTGGAGCTGATGAAGGCAGGCCTACAGTAAATTATTAGTATCAACATCTGCCTTTGTTTGGCAATTTTAGTAAACATCTCCATTCACTGGCTGTGTTTTATTGTGTCTCCTTACACAGATCAGACAGAGGTTGAGTGAAGTGTCTCTTTCTTAGGGTGATTCTACAGAACAAAGAGAGCTGTGATAACTCCTCATTGGTCACACCTAAAAGGTATGTGGTACTACAATATTTTGTTTCTATACGAGATTGACTTCCCAATGTTATTCATGTACATACAATGGACAGGACTATTTAAAGCCGCACTATACTACTTGTAGCTACTTGCTCCCTCTATATAGAAAACTTCTCCAATCGGTGCCTGTTGGTCCCCCATGATCCTCTTTTTCTTACCATTATGTTAATTGAGAGCTGATTTGATGAGATAGCCACCTGTCAGTGACCACACTGTGTGGTCGAATCCCTTCTGGCCAAACTAGTACAGACAGCCTTTAAAGATTGATGTTGGCTGTGAGTATGTTGAATTGTTTTACTTGTAATCACTGTTTTTTAATGTTTTGACACTTTAAAAAGTATTTGTTTAAAATCAAAAGGGCAGAAATATAATATTTGGTAGACTTGTATTTTCTTTTCATGAAGTGAGGCATTTGTTATTGTTAGGCTTTATTTTCATATGTACATGTAAATCCAATTATAAAATCTGTATGAATACATAAATACTTTATAGCAGTTTGTGTATTTTACGAGTAAAACAACTTTTGTGCAAAGGAAAATTCTTGTCAAAACTTATCTTGAGTTCTGATAAAGGAATCATATTTTTAGAGAAAATTATAATTTTTATATAAAAGTAATTTTGAATGGTTTACTGGTAGCATGGGTGTTAATCCTTACGTAATACCTATTGTTCAGGGGGGGGGGGATGAATGAATAGATCATCCCCCCTGAACAATAGGTATTACGGAAGGATTTACGCCCATGACTGGTAGTATGCAGGAGATGTTTTGGATCAGGATATACTGTATGTTATCTAACTAAAAAGAAAGAAAGAAAGGAAGATGACGACGATAGAAAAGAAGCAGTGGAAATGATAATCACTGAATAGCATTGATCACATTTCAATGCTTTCTTCCTTTTCCTTTTTAAACTCATGAACTGAGGGGAAGCTACGTTTTGTGCCACACAATTGCTTTGCAAAATAACCCGTTTCCGGTCTTGCTAAGCTCCATAGCAACCCTTTTAACACTGATATAGATTAACCTAAACAGTTGAATAATCTTGTACATCCTTTGTGGTATGTCTATATGCGTCCGTCCAGAAAGTTGGGGCAATTGTCGTGACTTTATAATAGAAGTGAGAAACTATGTCTCCTTTCATTATCAACTGTAAACAGCATAGCCAGCTATCTTCAGAAGTACTCAAGCTTCATGTTGACTCAATATTATTATTGTCCCAAAGTTTATGTAATATATTAATTTGGTGTCCATGTAATGCTGGTAAAAAGAAAAATGTGTATTTAGCAAAGATTTTGAAGAAAAGCAACTGAAGCAGCAACGATTCTGGCATGGCACTACTACAACTCCTTTTTGCCCCAACTTTATGATGGAATGACCCATATCTATCTCATGATGCATCTGTAAATACAACGTGGTGCCTGGAGATTATTTGTATGGCATGTACAGAGTTAATTTACAATTTAACGTACAACCAGAAACTTGTGCACGGAACGTATGATCTGTTCACAAAGTCAAGTGGTTTATGAAATTCCATGCTCTGAATTAAATTATTGAATCAAAAGTGTGACAGGATGCTGGATGTTTGCTTAAGTCTTGACAGTTTCTTGCGGTGAAATTGCCTGTCATTGCAATCAGGTGGAAAGATCCTACAGTACATGTATGTTAACAGTTTCTTGTTTCTTCCAAGGCTTTTCACTTGGTTGACCAAAATTACCACTCCATTGCATTCTTGAACTTTATAGAGGGTACATTTCTCGAGGTTTTGTGAGATTTGTTGTTGTTGTCATTGTAAACCAGAGCTAAAAATCACCTTAAACTTCCCTCCTCTTTTACCGACCCACCTGCATTGAAAGGGGCCCATAGTTGATTCATGTTACACAGGCATGTATGCCATGGCGAGGGAGCTTAGGGCATGTTCACACGTGCCGCAGTTTAAGCCGCAGTAAACTGCCACAGGGGCGTTTTTAAAGCGTACTACATTTCACACTTTTGTATCTTATAACACACAGATTAAAGTGAGTACGCGTACATGTAGGACCTTTGTTGCGTGTAAACTAGCTAATTTTCTCATCCTCCTTGCTATTCACTTATAACACACACTCACAAAAAACAATAACAACAACAACAATCAAACAAAATAAAACAAAACAAAACGTTACGAAACCCAATGTGGTTTTAAAATGAGGCTCATGAGAACAAACCTTTGATGAAAAATTGAGTGACACATTTGATTTCCAATGAATAATGAGAATAACCTGTGAATATCAATTAGATTAAATTGTGAATGTTAATTGCATTAATTTTGCTAACTTGCCAAGAAATGCAAGAAAAAAAATTGTGCTGACACTTGTGAACATAAACACTTGTGAACATAAACAGGATAAAATTGCAAGTGGATTGACGATAAAGTGTATGAACTAATTCTAGACATTTTCTTGGAATTCACAATTTGAAAAAGCCCCAAACTTCTAGTTAGATATGGTCATTCGATATCTTGTGACAAACATTGTATTCTTTTTTAATAATTGATTGTCTTTCAAATATTAGCTAAAAGTGATTTCTTATGCAGATCATAAGAGACACATAGACGTACTGTAGATGCACATGGGTACATGGATACCATTAACAACTGATCTATTCATACCACTTAAAAATTTGATATTCTATTTGTTTTCATAAATCAAGAATGAAAGTTGGACTGATTGAATTGAGGGCCTTTGTTGAATACTTTTAGATGTAAGCTTTAATATCTCACATTCTCAAGAAACATCAGTTGGAACCAATTTTCACATACTTCAACATTTACAAAACTAACCCACACTGTAATTTAGTTGTTAACTGTACAGTACATGTAAATTCTTTAGGATACTAGTAATTTGAAGACCCTGTGATATATCATTGTTTTGTTTTGCCTTTTGTTCTGATTCTATTTTTTTTTTTATTATGATTTTTGTTTTAGTTATAATTTTTGTTTTGCTATAAATTGTCACATTTCATTAATTCAAATTCTGTGATTTTTGTTATTAAAAATCCTCAGAACCATTGTGTACATAACCCATGGAATGTAGGTACGGTTTGGAATGATAATGAACTTGAACCAATGGCATATAAAGTGGTGTATGAAAAATGAATTTTCTCTCCATTAGGGTAATAATATTTATCCTTGCCGTAAACTTTGCTCAATGGATCGCTCTGTTTGAACAGGCATCATTAATTCCACATTAAATGAATCACGCTCCAGCTCCCCACCAGTTTTTTCTTTCTTCCGTCGGAGAACGATTGTTTGTTTTTCATTTTTTGTCGCCAGGCGTCCGACCGAGGTTTGACAACTCTATCAATCCCTGCCATCAATTAAGCATTAAAAGTATATTTAGATGGATATAAAGTGCATAAACAGGATATAAGGTAGTGTATAATGATGATTAATAATTGTGAACTGTTCTACATTCATCTGCACCTTCAATGCAATGTTCTAAGAATTAGAACATATACACTTTATATGTCTTGACTATTGAAAGATTTGTTCAAAAAAGAAATGTATTTGGTGACTTATCATCTGCTCAGAGCAAGAAGGATCAATTAAAGGTTGGTTTTAATAGAAGCAGAAAAATGAGAGAAACAGGTCAGTGAAAGTTTGAGCAAAAAACGATTAAATAAGAATGTTATGAATATTTGAAGGTGTGATCAATCAAACACAAAGTGGAACACTGCGACGTTTCTTGCAGGCTCCCCTCCCATTTGCCCTACAGTATACTAAAAAAACTTTTAATTCATATTTTCAATCATACATTCACCCTGAATTATTGCAAATATGTTTTTACACAACACCTGTATGAAACAAAGTCTATTCCTTCAAAAAATCAATGTTTATGATATTTTCTGTACAGAGCATATTGGAAAGGATCACGCATGATATGTCAGAGTGTTGCGACTTGGTATTTCACTGATGACAACTTCAAAAATTCACCATTTTCCTTGTTTAAGTCAGATATTGCTCAAATTGTCTATAATTTATTTCTGTCATTTTTGTGCTTTCATTAAAACCAATAATATCAGGGTGGACAGGGAATAATTTTCCTGGTATCGCATCGCAATTTGCTATGCATTTTTGCATGACTGCTATACAAAATATCTTTTGTGTAGCAGTTTTCTTCCATAGAAATGTACAGAATTTCATTTGAAATATTTATCCATCAGCTGAAATTGCTAATCAAAAAATTTGAGGAAAATTATTCCCTGGTGGACTTCACCTTTAAAAACACTTAACATTTAGAGTTAAATTTACCGGTAATGCCAATATGACGCTCAAGGAACAATGTTTCAACGATTTCTTTAACAATGTGTTTCCTGTTTGTTTTTAATTCCTCATGGTAAAACTACAAGTATAATGTGCAAAAATAAGTGGCATTAAAGTGATTAAACCAACATTTTGAAGTATGTATAGTGAATAATTCCTCTTAATATTAAGAGATTTTCTGTATTACTATTAGGTTGCGAATGATGATTACAATTATGCAGTTATTGGCTCCTTCCCTTTCAACTTTCAATTTCAAAATGAAAACACTTTAAATGCAAATTACCGAAATATGAAAAAGTGTAATTTCACATTATTTGATGCAGTTGTAATTATATGTAATGCATATACTGCAATGTATAATTAATGCACTCAATTCTAATACGGACTAGAGCGTATACATACATGTAGGCCATGCAGCTCAAGTATGATTCATTTATTTTGTATTCATATGCCCGAGGGGCGCTAGGGCAAGATTTGGTGAGATTTGTTGAAGCAAAAGTAATTTCCATGCTTGCATGTCAATTTCACGGGGGTACAAGCCGAGGAGGCAAGGACAACATGGTTTTATCCGACTGACGAAAAAAAAAAACACAAGGGGCAAATGCGAGGGAGTCTTCTCAAGGCAGGAGTTCGGGTCAAAAGAACCCTATCTTTTCAATTACAAGTTAATTTGCCAGATTTGA